AGAACGGAACCCTGAGAAACACCGGCGTTAGTCGCAATAGGATCGGATGAGCAGTCATCGACGACGACCCGGAGAGACCGTTCACTCAGAAAGTCCTTTACCCAGTCAATCAAACCATAAGCCGGACGCTAGAAGCTTACCCAAAAGGCTAGCATGCCAAACTCTGTCAAAAGCTTTCGAGACATCAAGGGAAACAGCAAGTGGTTCCCCACTGTTCTTGAGTGACTCGCCCCATACGTGTGTGGCATACGCTAGAAGGTCCCCAGCTGACCGATTTCGGCGAAACCCGTATTGGCGGTCACTAAGAACTAAGATGAAATGCCTCCTTTCCAGTAAACTCTCTCCAGTTTTCTACACTCATCATACGAAACAGCATTAAGCTGCCATTTTATGCAGCTGGTATTCTGTGAGAGCGATAATATAGCTGCTCTACCAAGTATGTATTACATATACCGCTCCAGTACAGCATCATTTTACAGAAGATCATACATCGAACTCGAAGAAATAATAATAACGTAAAATATCTATGATACGATACACAATCCGAAATTCAAACGAACCATAAGCGCGCGAAAGATTGCGAGATTTACTTAGATTATATTTCAATAAAACATATATAAATATTTCTATAAATCTGCAAACCAAATCCATGAAAAACCGCGTATCACCGTGTATTACTGAATATTGATTTCCTTACTAAATCACGTAATTATTAACCGATATTTAGTAACAGACATAAATACGATTTCATATACTATATCATATAGGATATAGGATAAGAGTGATATTACCCATGACAAATTGCGTGACCCGAATATAACTACACAAGGTTAAAGTCTTTTCTATCCCCGTAACAGATTTGCTAAGATTTTCCAAACGATGATTGAATTCATTTAAGTTAAGCTGGTATTTATCCAAAACCAGAAACAGAAACAGAAACTTTTTTATTCAATATAGATTATAAATAATACTTATTGAAAGTCACTCTTTTGTTTGATTACCACTGGTTCGGAAAAAAACCTATGTCCTGGGAAGGACCAGCAAGAAACCCAGCGGGACTTTTTTTTTTAAATAACAGCTTACAATCATGTTGTTACACAAATTAACAACAACAAATTAGAAATAGCTTGGTAGCGATCACCTCATTTCCAGGGGTTATTATCATCCATAAATTCCTTAATATTATAATAACCCTTTTTATACAAACTTAGTTTAATAAAGTTTTTGAACTTTGAGCAGGTCAAAATTTGTATATTTTCTGGAATTTTGTTGTAAAAGTGTATACATCGCCCCAAGAATGAATTACTGACTCGATGGAGTCGAGTAACTGGTACTACTAGCTTGTGTCTGTTCCTAGTATTTACAGAATGAATATCACTTATTTTTGTAAAACTACTTTTATTTTTGTGTACGTACATTACATTTTCATAAATGTATTGAGAGGCCAAAGTTAATATATTAATTTCCTTAAATTTTTGTCGCAGCGACTCTTTAGGCTTTAAATCATAAATTGCTCTTATGGCCCTCTTCTGTAAAACAAATATAATTTCAGTGTCAGCTGCGTGTCCCCATAGCAAAATACCATACGACATTATGCAATGGAAATAGCTAAAGTAAACTAGTCTAGCTGTTTCAACACTGGTTAGACTTCTAATCTTTTTTACAGCATATGCTGCAGAAGTAAGTCTGCTTGCTAGTTTTGATATATGGGGGCTCCATTGAAGCTTCGCGTCTAGTGTGATTCCAAGAAAAATGGTGGTATCTACAAGACTCAGTTTCTCCCCATTTAAAATTACATTAGTATTTAATTGTTTGACATTTGGAGTCACGAATTTCATACATTTCGTTTTAGTGCCAATTAAATGCAAATTATTAACATCGAACCAATTTACTAATTTACTTCTTTTTTTATTTTATTTTATTTAAGGACCAGTAAACAACTTCAACAGAGGATTAATAACTAATCTTAATCCTAAAATTTAAATTTAGTGAAGCCAACACCACCAGTCTCAGATAATAATTTTAACAGATTAAATTACAAAAATGAGAGATGTGAAGGAGGACTTAGTACATAAGTAATATTACAAAAAGACATTAGACATTACATTAACTTAAACTCTAATTTAAGTAGACAAGAGATCAGCATTATCGAACTATTTAAAAACAAAAATTAAAATCTAGCAAAAAACAAAAAACTCAAAATTTTAGGTTTGATTTCAAAACAATTATATAATTCAATTGTATTATGATTGAGTTTTGATTTTTTCCTTTTCCTTTCTTTAGTTTGTAAGACTCATAAGCTTATTAATCACTTTGTTTCTAAAGGAATTTGCACGATTATTAAAAATGTCAATGTCACAAAAGTGATCATTATAATTTTGCATTAAACGATATAATGGCGCTCTTTTGCCAGCATTGGTTCTACATAAGGGAAGGGCAAATGTTTAACATGAGCATGTTGATCTTACATGTGACCTAGTAGGTACACGAAATTGCAATTTTTTTGTTAAAGGAATGCAATCATATCTATCATTACAAAGGTCAAATAACAACATTGCTGCTAATTGTTGTCGTCTGCGCTTTAAACTTAACATTTTGTATTTATTTAAAATTATATTATAGGAACAATATTTATGCTTACATCTATTGTACATGGACTTAAAAAACTTTTTTTGTACTCTCTCAATATGGTCGGTATAGACATTATAGAAAGGATTCCACAAAGCAACTGCGTATTCCAACTGAGAGCGTATCAATGCCTTATACAAAAAGATATATGTTGCTGGGTTGGTGAAATCCTTACAGGATCTCATTACAAACCCAAACATTTTAAAAGCTTTATTACATATTTGTTCAACATGTGTATCGAGTGTTAATTTACTATCAATAGTAACGCCGAGGTCACAAACAGAATGTACTTTTACAAGAGTAGAATGGCACAAAGAATATGATTGTTGATTAAAATTAATTTTCTTAGTAACAGTTAACATTTTGCACTTATTAATACTAAGACTTAATTTATTTTTTAAACAATAAGCAGAAAAGCGGTCAAAGTCATTCTGAAGTCTGAAGTGATCCTCATTGTCACAAATGGTACGATAAATTTTAAGGTCATCCGCGTATAATAAAAAATTACTGTGCTGAAAACACGAGTTAATATCATTAATAAAAAGTATAAATAATAGCGGTCCCAATATAGAACCTTGTGGTACCCCAGAGGTGACAGGAACATACTCTGATTCGTAACCATTAATAACAACCCTTTGCGTACGGTTAATTACGTATGATTTAAACCATCGCCAAAGATTACCACGTATACCGTTAAAAGCAATTTTATCAAGTAGAATTTTGTGATCAACTCTGTCGAAGGCCTTACGAAAGTCTGTGTAAATACAGTCAGTTTGATAATTTGAATCTAAGTTTTCAAATAAGTCCGTTAGATATACTAATAAATTTGTAGTAGTTGAACGTCGCCTTACAAAACCGTGTTGTTCGGGTATAATTAAGTTATGCAGTAATGGATATATACAGTTGAAAATTAATCGTTCGAAGAGCTTCGACATGGCTGACAAAATGGAAATAGGACGGTAGTTCTCAACATTTCGTTTCGAACCACTCTTATGTACAGGCACAATTCTAGCGGCTTTCCATACGTCAGGACATACTCCTTGAACTAGACACTTATTAAAAAGGAAACATAGTGGTTTAACAATATTAACTGCTGTATTTTTCAGAAATACTGGTGATATATTATCAGGCCCCATTCCCTTGGTTGTATTTAAAGCTTGTAGCTCTT